AAACTAAAAAAACAATTATTTAGACAGAAGAGAAATGTATTCAGTTAGAAGCACCTCAATAAATAGACTTTGAAGAAAATGTTTTATGCTTGTGTTTTTCCCATGAAAAAAACCTTTTGTGTATTTGATTAAACAAAAAGCTTTTCTAGTGTACGGAAAGGAGGAAACTATACTAAATATATGAAATCCATTTGTATTAAAAACCCATACATATAAGAGAAAATCTAGAAGGAAAGACATAATTGTTCCTCTAGGTCAGTGGTTGGTAAACTCACTAGTCAACAGAGCCAAATATCAGCTGTACAACGATTGAAATTTCTTTTGAGAGCTGAAAACCGACTTCTGCGTGTGGGCCACGAAGTTTCAATCGCACTGTACTGTGCACCATACATGGTATTCTATGGAAGAGCCACACTCAATGTGCCAAAGAGCCTGATGTGGCTCTCGAGCCGCAGTGTGCCGACCACTGCTCTAGATGGATGATATTATGGTTATTTAATTTTCCTTTTTCATTATTATACTTTCATAAATAGGTATAAAAGTATAACAGTAATTTTAAAAAGAAACATATTATTTCATATGATTCTCAACCATTCTAAGATGAAAACAGAAAATAAACATAAAGGGATAAACTTAATCCCAAGAAAGAAAACCATATATTTTACACATTATCAGAAAATATTTTATACATATATATGGTCCTCATTTGCATGGATTTTGGGTGGAATGTTGAAACAATAGAAAAACAAATGTAACAACCTTAAAGAATCAAACATATGTTAGCTGAAGTTTTATTTTGTTATAGCATAAGCATTTATAAACTAATCTAAAACAAAAAAGTGAGAGAAGAAAACAGGATATATTTATTTTAGAACCACTCATTTTCAGCTGCTATGCTATTAGAAATAGCTTTGGATTACTAAATTACTTCCTCATATAATGTATTCCCAAAGATGCTACATCCTTCCATTAAAAAAAAATATTTTTATAGTTAAGAATATTACAGATGTCCCCCATTTTCCTTCTTTCCTCCTCTCCCCCAGGCTCCTGCGCACCCCAGGCCTTCAAATGCCTACTAATTGTCAGGCTTTATGTTATGTACTGGGGATGTGAAATGAGTTCCTGATCTCATGAAACTATTAATCTAGCTGGGAAGATAGATAATAAGCATTACAAAACACTAATAGTGTTAAGAGAACAAGGTTGAGACAAGAGTCGTGGCCAGAGACCTCTCACAGCTGACGAGGCCCCAGAGAGGGCTTCCCAGAGGAACTGTTAGGCTGAGACTTCAAGGCTAAGAAAGGAATAACTGTGAACTTGGGGATCAATAGTGTTCGGACAAAGCAAGCATTTGCAGAGAAAGTGTAATGCTTTCTGGAAAGTGAAACAAGTTTATTCTAGCTGGAGCACTGGGAGAGGAAATGTCAAGACAGTAAATCCCACTGTTGAGACTCTGTCCTAAGAGGGCTCAGGAGTGACACGGTAAGACTTGTGCTTTACAGACTACTCCAGGGCAGCATGTATGGAGAATGAGCTGTAGAAATGAAGGCCCAGTGCCAGTCAGGAGGCTGCTGTAATAATGGAGACTACAATAATGGCAGGAAAGGTGGGGAGATAAAAGTAAAAGTTAGGGGGTGCTCCGACAGGATTTCAGTGAGTTGGAGATGAATCAAAGATGATTCACAGTTTGTGGCTTGATAAATGCTGATGTTAGGGCTATTCAGTGAGAATGGAAACCCAGGGTACAGCAAGAACAGACTTTTTGTCCCTCTGTATGGGGGTGGGAGTGGGTAGGGTTAGTGGAAGGAAGTGGAGGTAGAGAATGAAGTCAATTCAGGATATATTGCCTTTAATATGATCTACAAGATACCCGATGGATGATTCCAGTAGGCAATGAATAAATAATTTATAAGCTAAGTTAGGTTTAGGGCAAGATATGTTTTTGAGAATGATAAACATACAGTTCAATATTTTCTCAACCTTTAAAAAAATCCATGTCTACTTGAACCCCAAAATAGCCTTTCTTCCACTCCCAAAATGAGAAGAATTGATATTGATTAATACAATGTATTCCCAAAGATGCTACATCCTTGCATTTTTTAAAAAAATTTCAAAGGAAGCCATGAAAATAAGAGAATTTTTCAGGGAAATGGAAGAGTGAGAAAGGCCATAAGACAGAATCTTGAAGAACACCAATATCTAAGGGTTAGGCAGAGGCACCTTCAAAGAAGAGATTAAGAAAAAAAAAGTGAGTTGGTTTCACTCCTTTGATGATTTCTTATCATCTATTCTAAATAGCAGAAAAGGAATCTGGATGGCTAAAGAAAAATGATAAGCCTCTTCTAAACATTTTGTAAGCTTTACAAATAATTGTCCCACTTATTTATCCATTCATTGGTTGCTTCTTATATCATTAAAAGACCCAAGACCCAGCAAGACCCAAGACCCAGCACTAGCACTAACCTGCCTTGCTTCACAGCTGGGCTTCACCTGGGCAACTCCAAGCCCAATACAAATAGCGGATAGCAGCCATCTGCAGTTCCCTCTGTCGCTCCTGTCAGGTGGCCCCAGCCAGTGGCTGACTTTGCACCTCCCTGAGGCCCTAGAGCTAGTAATCCATCCAAATGGACCACTCCAGTGAGTCAGCTGCTTGTGATTCTATTTTTTTCCCTTTAAATCAATAAAGGTAACTGACATTACCATCTTGTTTTTAAATAGGAAGAGATACTGGTAATAACAAAATATTAATTTAAATTAGTGTGTATGTGGTGTTGTTTTTTTGTTTTTTTTCAGATACTTTGACTCATTTAAGTAACTAAATAAATATTAACATGATGCCGAAACCAGTTTGGCTCAGTGGTAGAGCGTCGGTCTGTGGACTGAAAAGTCCCGGGGTTTGATTCCAGTCAAGGGCATGCATCTTGGTTGCGGGCACACCCCCGGTAGGTTGTGTGCAAGAGGCAACTGGTCGATGTTTCTTTCTCATCGACGTTTCTAGCTCTCTATCCCTCTCCCTTCCTCTCTGTAAAAATTCAATAAAATATATTAAAATAAATAAATAAATATTTACATGATTTCTATTCCAGTATTCAATAGGTAGTAATCTTTACTCAAATTAATTACCATTAATATTAATTATATTAATAACTTGCCAAATGTAGAAATGCTCCACGTTTCAGAAAATTACCATTTCAAAGGCAAGAAATATAGCCTTTAATACACACATACACACACACACCCCAATTCTTAAGGTTAGGATATGGCATGTACCAAATATGTTTAGGGGAATGGATAAGAATTTAATTCCTCAGCCGAAACCGGTTTGGCTCAGTGGATAGAGCGTCGGCCTGCAGACTGAAGGGTCCCAGGTTCGATTCGGGTCAAAGGAACGTACTTAGTTGCGGGCACATCCCCAGTAGGGTGTGTGCAGGAGGCAGCTGATCCATGTTTCTCTCTCATCGACGTTTCTAATTCTCTATTCCTCTCAATTCCTCTCTGTGTAAAACCAATAAAATATATATTTTTTAAAAAGAATTTAATTTCTCAGTAGCCCTTAGACTTCAGTGCTGACATTAATGATTCCCCGAAGTAGATGCAGATATCCAAATCCTCAATCTCAGGACTCATGTAATAATCTGTCGATTTCCTTTAAAATTACTGTCAAAAGATTAATTTTTAAAACCATCTGAAAATGCTTGCTTCCTAACTTTTAACCCTTTTTCTGATCATGATCACTTATTACAAAATCCATTCACTTTATTTCTAGTAGAAACAAATTACTTGATTACAACCCTTTATCTCTTCAATAAACTGTCCTTAAGACTTGCAAAGTTAGCAAAGTTCAGTACAGAAAACTGAAAAGGTAGAAGAGGTAGTAAGACACAGAAACCGTGGGTAGTCTGTACACTGCTTAGCAGCACAGCCACAAATGAGAGATGACAGACAGCAATTGTCCTAATCTAGGTCAATACAACAGCCAAAATACTTTGCAAACACTTTCTTTGGCTCTTTCTGGATATCAACACTCTTTTGATTAAATAGCATGATAAGAGCTTAATCACAACAGAAGTGTTCAATAATATTTACTTATCTAACATCTTTTATCAACAATCTTAAAATCAAATAACACTAATCATAACTCAGTCAGTGAGAGGTAGGTATTAAGGCCAATTGCAAAGACCAAGAATTAGGAATGTGTGCTATTGAATAATCTTTGTGAGCTAAAGACTGCTGCTTTATATTGCTCCAAGTAAATAAAATGGAGTATCAACTCTCCTTCAACACACCCAAAGTTAGGCACAAGAACTCAGAGTGAATGAGGAAGTGCATTTTCTTAATATGTTTCATTTGTACTTAATTTTTACTAAAGTTTGATTTATTGAAGTTTAATCTTAGAAGATATTGTTTACTCAATGATCTTATCAGAGAAAATTATTAATAACATAGTGTCTTAGATATTATACTTTTTAATATTATATTGTTTTAAATATTAGATTCAAATTCTACAGTATTACATATACCAATTATTTGAGATATCTTTTTATGTGAGGTGAAGGGTTTATGCTAAGTATACACACAATCTTCCTTGTGACCAACAGCTGAATCTGTGAGACAGATACCTAAGAAAGCTGCGTTCTGTAACTATGAATAGTTCTGTATATGTGTGTAAAATGAATGAACCTGTACTAGTAAAGCTCCTGTCCTTAGCCTCAGTAGCATCATGCTCTGAGTTAACTAGTTCAAACTATTAGATAAAAGTGGTAACTAATGAATAGGAACGAAGAAAGGTTATATCTCATCATCTTAAGGTTTCACAGAGATGATTCAGATTTCCGATTCAAATTCCCACCTCCTGAAAAATGAATTCTTAAATAACTGAACTCTTAAATCACAGAAGTGCAATACTCTGAAATTATCCTAAAGACTTAAGAAAATAGCCAATTACTACTGTGAAGAATACATAGCTATATGGAATATAGCTAAACAAAAGGAGAACTCAGTAAAAGAGAACATTTTTTAATATTTTTAAACCAATAAAAGATGTCTGTTTAGGATTCACATCAGTAGTCACTAATTGGGTAAATGCTAAAGACTTACATTCAAGTGCTTGAAGGATTACTGCACAGAAATTCGATACTAAGAATCTTTGCTCAGATGCATCTCCAGCTCATTAAAGATGAGATGATGTAGGAAACAACAGTGGTATTTAAAGCCCAATCACTCTCAAAGACAGGCTAAAATATACAGCTGTGAAGACATTCCACAAGTGGAGTCATTGACACCAAAAAATGGTATTAAGGAAAAAAAAAAAGACCTCATACAGTCTGCTGGCATTTCATACCAACCATTGGAGGAGGTAGTAATATAAAGTATTGGAATTAAAAATATAAGGTCAGCACTAACTGTAAACATTGCTAAAGCAGTATGTAATTCTTTAAATCATAATGTAGTGAAAAACAATTAGAATTCATACAAAATAAGATTTTTAAAAAGCAAAAAATGGAAGTATTTAGTAAATTTACTCAAATGAAGCTTAAATGATACAGAACTGAAAATATTAGAAATCTATATACAATAGAAAGTGAATATAAATTAGCCAACTCTATGAACATTTCCAGCTAAGCACACATACAAATACATAGTCACCACTTTCTTTTATATAGTAATAACACATACATACATGACATGACAATTCTGGCAAAAAAAATTCAGAGACATTAAAAATATTCTCAAGTTTTAAAGATGGTGTGGAATAAGTTTTAACAACATTCCACACAAATGGAAACCCCTGATTTAATTCCATAACTTTCATGCCAGAAGCATGGTTGGTTTTACTTTTCTTTTTTTTTTTTTTAGACAGATCTTGGTATCATATACATTGGCTTATTAATAATTAAGGCATTTTGTTTACACAGTATCTCAGTGTGGACAAAAAACTTTTAGTATTGATTATTTGCTATGATGTTTAAAACTTTCAGTCTTTCAAAATAAGAAAATAGCTGCACATATTTGAGTGTTTTCTTATAAAACACAATCTTAAAAAAAAGTAATGATGATTGGTTTTTGCTTTTCCTAGTTGTAAGTTTTGTCTTATTTTTTCACATAGTATAAAGTATATTCTTATGAAGGATTGCATTAAGATCCAGTAGTTCTTGCCAAGAAACCATATAAATCCCAAATGCAGCGAAGGTGAACAATCTTCATAGTGCACTTTCACCTTATTAAAGTTGAAGCTGCTTCCTTTCGGATATTTTTCCACTTCAATGTGAAGTAGATTGTTAGGGTTTTGTTATTGGTTTCATACGTGGCTTTAAAAGGAAAAGGTTTTGATTTCTTCCACAGTTCACAGTTCTCCAATGAGACTTGTTTGGAAATCATATAGTCCAGGGATGTTTTGAATAACCAAATGTTCTTTAGTAGATGAAGTCTTTCAATGCAACTGTAATAAATAAGCATCTACATCCTTAGAAAATAAAACAAAAACATTTCATTAGCTAGTACAGTAAATACATATATACACCACCCCTTTCTTCTCCCTTTAGTTACTTGATTTGCCTCAGTTTCCCTTTGTAACCTTTGAGGGTAAATGATGTGGTGTACTCAACTTGTTAATCTACATTTGTTTAGCACAGGGCCTGGCACACAACAAGGGCTCAATAAATGTTTGCTACGTGCTGAGTAAATGGTTTGGTTCTTGTGATCAAGCAATTCTGCCTTTTTAGCTAGGCAAGATCATTAAATCATTCACAACAGTTCTTTCAGTTTGATGATAGCCTATCTTTCTGATTTCTACCTTCAAGAAAATTAATTTATAATTGAGTGTTTAATCTTATAAAAGAGGTTTTTTATCACAGTTTAAGGAACTTCATAGAACTTTTAATCACTCCATATTGTCTTTATCTTAATCTCATGTTCACAATAAAGCTTCTTTATTTATAAAAAATTATGACCAAATGCAAATTTCTAAGAAACTATTAATTTTTCAGTTCTGTTACTACAAGAATATAAGACCCCTCCAGAACAATGTGATATATCTGGTATGCTCTAAAGCATCCCAATTTCTTTCAGCTTTTATGCTTCATTGTCTCTCCTCCCTCCCCCCTTATCAAAAGAACAGAAAAATACTTCTGGAAAACTGATTTCTGTTTATAATATTTTAATCATTAAAAACTCTACAAAGTTGCCGGGACCGGTTTAGCTCAATGGATAGAGCATCGGCTTGGGGACTGAAGGGACCCGGGTTCGATTCCGGTCAAGGGCATGTACCTTGGTTGCGGGCATATCCCCAGTAGGGGGTGTGCAAGAGGCAACTGATCGATGACTCTCTCTCATCGATGTTTCTAACTCTCTATCTCTCTCCCTTCCTCTCTGTACAAAATCAATAAAATATATTAAAAAAAAAAAAAAAAAAAAAAAAAAACTCTACAAAGTTAAATTATACACAGTGGTAAAACACACGCTTGGTACATCATTTTGCTTCTTTCCTTGAAAAGTATCTAAGACAGCCGAAACCGGTTTGGCTCAGTGGTAGAGCGTCTGCCTGTGGACTGAAAGGTCCCAGGTTCGGTTCCGGTCAAGGGCATGTATCTTGGTCGTGGGCACATCCCCAGTAGGGGGTGTGCAAGAGGCAGCTGATCGATGATTCTCTCTCATCGATGTTTCTAACTCTCTATCCCTCTCTCTTCCTATCTGTAAAAAATCAATAAAATATATATTTTTTAAAAGTAACAAAAAAAAGAAAAGTATCTAAGACAATTTTTACAATTAAGTCTATAACATAAATCCTTATTTAGTATATTTTTTAAAATTAAAAAACAATTTTATATTTCTGACTAATGTCCATTTATGATAGCAATATGCTCAGTAAAAGGGTGGAAACATTTAACAATGACTTTTTTCTGCAATTATATGTGTTTTATATACCAATGTTTTCTATAGTTTAAATATTAAAATCTAATGTACCTTTTCCTTTAAGAGACAAATATACCAATAAAGACCAATATCAAATTAATATCATGATTTGAACAGTATATTTTCCTAAAAAGCATGATATTAGCAACAGTCAAGTAAAATGTAACATCCCCAAACCACTTAATTTATTCCTTACTATAATAAATCTTTAGATCCCTTTCTTACCTGAATTTTTAACTTTTTCAAATATTTTTCTTTTATTAGAACTAGGTCATTAAACAACCTCCAACACATTATTTCTGTGGCTATATTTCAAACACATTCAATGGGTAATTTTGTGCTCCCTGTCAAAGTCACATTCATATCCAGAAGACCATAAGCATTTGCAAATATGAAACTGACTGTAGACCTTACTGAATAATACTGAATTACTTTGTCTCAAAATTTGAAAGAATTCATTTATAAATGCATACTTCCATATTACTTCTAAATTTTAATTAAGCTTAAATATTAATTTTTAAGCTTAAATATAGATTACCTTAGCTATATTACCAGTATATCCTGGAACCAAAGTAAGATGGTTTTCTTGTTCCCACAATCTGCTTAATTGTTGTTTTAAAATATGAATATTTCTAGGAGGAAAAAAGAAAATTCAAATATGATATGAACTTTGGTAGTAAATACATTTAATGAAAATAGTTTTAAATTTTTCAAGTATTTATTAGAGAATATTATACTACTGAAGTCAGCCAACTCTTTAAAATAATATGCCAATCACAAAAATTAAAGGTTATTTGTTAATGCAGGTTAGAATACTAGGCACGAAGCATTTAGACAACTTGTTGGGTATAAAGTAGGACATTTTGTGAATTTAAAAAGAAAACTGTAAACTTTAAAGAAAACTTTGGGAGACATTTTTAGTAGCTTCATGATAATCTTGCTCATTTGGTAGAAAACCTACGTATTTTCATAGTAAGGCAATACTCAAATTATGATGGCTATAATAATATAGTTTTTAGATGGCAAAACTCAAAGTTCGATACTAAACCTAATTGCAATACTCAAATTATGATGATTATAATATAGTTCTTAGAACTGGATTCTAAGGTTAGTATCTAGATAGCTAAAGTACTCTGAAGGATACCTCTATTCCTGTACCTCATTACTTATTCCTCTAAGGACTATCTCTTTTTCTCTCTCTTATTCTTTACAATGGTTAAATCATTACTGTGCTTTTTTCTTCTAAAATGAGGAGTAGGGTTCTGCTAAACAAGAGGTTACTGGACTCTGAAATTCAACTTCTATGTGTAATTTTCACACATGAACAGTATCCCAATTTATTCCCTGAAAATAAAGAGAATATTATATACTGATGATCACAGAATAAAATTATTATCTAGTTAAATACAACTGCTCTTCTGGAAAAAAAAAAAAGTAAAATAAAATAAAATTTAGAAGCATAAGGTTATCTTTAAAGGTATACTCACCCATCATTTATAATTTCTGTTTTGGATGATAGTTCTGACCACCATCTTTTTATGACTGCTTGAAGCCAGTTTAAACCAACTATTATATATCTGAAATGACATTTTGTTACAAAATTCAAGTATTTTCACTTGGCTTCTTAGCCTTTACACAAAATAATACTTCCACTACTCAAAAATAACCCAATGCAAACATTACACTGATCTTTCCCTCTTCTAAACATTTATTTCACAAAACTGTATTTTATATAACTTGTTTATAGATGTTTCTGTAATTGTCTTTAGTCACTTCATATTCTTTTCCTAACTGGACTATAAGCAAGTTAAAAAGAGAAACCATGTATGTTTTCAGGAGCTCAATCTACTACTAATGCACTCACAGGGCACAGAAAGTTGAAAAAGAAAAATGACTTGAGATTCAGATCAGCACTTACTCTTCAAATTTGCTTTTAAGTAGTGACTTCACAAGAGGCAACAAGTCTACACAGCAGCCAAGTGAGATGTATTGTTTTTCTTCCTGTAAACTAAAATAAACACAAGTCATAAAAATATGAATAAGTCATAATTTATCTTTTGCAAACTAATTTGTTTTCTGGAAAAAAAATATTTTTTTACCTATTGGTAAGCACAGGAAGACAATCCACCACCACTCCAAGGTCTTCTATCCTGTGGGTACAAAAAGAATAGCATTACTTAAAGAGATAATTTCTTCAATTATTTTCATATTAGAGGCACGGTGCACTGGAAGAGGGGTGTCCCTCAGCCAAGCCTGTGCCCTCTTGCAATCCGGGACACCTCGGGAGGTCTCCAACATTCTATTATACAGGATGACCTTCACACTGCCTGTGAGAAATTCACTCATTCAACAAATTAGCCTGATGTTGGGGGTACAACCGTAAACAAAGAGATAGGACTTGCCTTCTAGTGTGTGTGTGTGTGTGTGTGTGTGTGTGTGTGTGTGTGTGTGAGAGAGAGAGAGAGAGAGAGAGAGAGAGAGAGAGAGAGAAAGAGAGAGAGAGAGTAAGTTAGAGGTGGGTGGGAGAATGCTGAGTCAGACAATCTATATAATAAAAGGCTAATATGCAAATCAACCAAATGGTGGAACGACTGGTTGCTATGACACGCAATGACCACCAGGGGGCAGACACTTAACATAGAAGCTGACCCCTGGTGATCAGTGTGCTCCCACAGGGGGAGCGCTGCTCAGCCAGAAGCCAGGCTCACAGCTGGCAAGCATAGAGGCAGTAGCAGGAGCCTCTTCTGCCTCCGCAGCAGTTGGATATCCCCCCAATGGTCCCAGAATGCAGGAGGGCATAGGCCAGGCTGAGAGAACCTCCCCAAATGCATGGTTTTTGTGCACCACGCCTCTAGAAAACATGTAAACAAATAAAATACATAGAACATGAAGATGGTGGTAAATGCTACAGAGAAAAATAAAACAGAAAAGATGGGGAGTAAAGAAGTATATACTTTTAAATAAGGTGGCAAAGGTAACATTTAAGAAGGTAATATTTAAAATTTTCACTCAAAGGGGATTCTTAAAGATTTAGTTTTCCAATATTGGTATCTCTTAGTATAATTGACAAGAAGCTTAGAGAAGCCCTGGTTGGTTTGGCTCAGTGGATAGAGAGAGCATTCGCCTGTGGACTGAAGGGTTCCAGGTTCGATTCTGATACAGGGCACATGCCCAGGTTGCAGGCTCGATTCCCAGTAAGGGGCATACAGAAGGCAACCAATCAATGATTCTCTTTCAACACTGATGTTTCTAACTCTCTCTCTCCCTTCATCCCTGAAATCAATAAAAATATACTTTAAAAAATAATCTTAGAGAAGGTAACAGCTTTATTCATTCTGATAAAATTGACGGTTTTCTTTATTTTGGTTACTCTTTAACTGGTGTTGAATTAATTTAAACTATATTGTTTCTATTGAAGCTAAAAATAGTTTAGCCAGTAATAATAAAAAAGAGGCACTTCTAAATAGCATATTAAAAATTACTTTTTATTGAACAAAAAGGTCCACTTACCTCACCAAATAAGCTACAAATTCACTTATACTTCTCTTTTTCCAGAAGGTTAAAGCTACATTCAATCTCAAATTCCTGCTGAACAAAACTTGTGCCATTGTTTCATGATCCTGAGATACCTGAAAGGTAATCATCTAATTTCTTAAAAAGCACACTAAAACATGATATGAAATAAGTTTCTTAATTAAATCATTCCTGTAGACATATTGTAAAATTATACAAAGGTGGTGATTTTTGGATGGAAGGAGACTTGACTTGAGGTGGTAGGCACATAATACAATCCTATCTAATAAAAGAGTAATATGCAGATTGACCATCACTCCAACACCCAATATGGCTGCCCCCATTTGGTCAAAGATGACTGTCCCCATGTGGGCACAAGATGGCCACCACAAGATGGCCAGCAGGGAAGGACAGTTGGGAGGGACCAGGTCTGCAAGGGAGGGCAGTTGGGGGCAATCAAGTCTGCAGGGGAGGGCAGTTAGGGGTGACCAGGCTGGCAGAGAAGGGAAGTTGGGGGCAAAAAGGCTGGTAGGGGAGCAGTTAGATATCAATCAGGCTGGCATGGGAGTGGTTAGGGGGTGATCAGGCTGGCAGGCAGAAACGGTTAAGGGCAATCAGGAAGGCAGGCAGGCAAGCAGTTGAGAGCCAGCAGTCCTGGATTGTGAGAGGGATGTCCAACTGCCTATTTAGACCAGATCCCACCAGACATCCCTCGAGGGGTCCCAGATTGGAGAGGGTACAGGTTGGGCTGAGGGACAACCCCCCCCCCCACTCTGGCACAAATTTTGTGAACTGGGCCTCTAGTATACAAATAATGTATTATATGGTTGTACACCTAAAACTTATATAATTTTATTAACCAAAGCCACATCAATAAATTCAATAAAAATTAAAAATAAAATTTAAGAAATTATTCAAAGGTGACTCCATTTACAAAACATATAAACAAATACACACACACACACACACACACACACTAAAGCCCAACTGGCATGGCTCAGTGGTTGAGCATTGAGCTACCCAACCAGGAGGTCATGGTTTGAATCCCAGTTAGGGCACATGCCTAGGAGAGAGAGGGGGGGGAGAGGGAGAGAGGAGAAAAGGGGGAAAGGGGGAGAGGGGGAGAGAAGGAGAGGAGGGGAGGGGTAGGGGGAGAGAAGAGGGGGGAAGGGTGAGGGGGAGGGGGAGGGGGAGGGATAGGGAGGTAGAAACAACAATGAGGAGAAAGAATTATTGATCAGTGGCCTCTTTTACGCCCTCCATGGAAGATCAAGCCCATAATCCAGGCATGTGCCCTGACCAAGAATTGAACTGTAACCTCCTAGTTCATAGGTTGACACTCAACCATGCCAGCCAGGTTGGTGGTCTATTTTCTAAGCAAGATTTCTTTTACATTCCTTTAAATCTCTACTGGCCAATCTGTCATTCTGGGTATTTACAGCAGCTTGTCAATCATTTGAAGTCACCTCAGATATCACTAATTTAAGAGAAATGGAATAAACTACTGAATCAAATTTGGTTAATCAGGAAAACTTTGTCAGGAGTTACAACCATTCAAATAAATCTGGATTCAATGTGTGGTAATTATTCAAATAGCAGAATATGGCAAAGAAAAAAACCAAGAGTATAACCAGAATAAAGTTAAGTTTATAAACTTAAATTTATTAACTTACCTCAGAAAAAAAACCACTGTATTTTGATGATGCACTTTCTGTCTGTGAAGATCCAGAATCACTGGAGTTAAGCAAATATGTTCGACTATCATGGTGTAATTTTTCAGGCAGGTGGCCTGCACAAGCCAGTTCATTTTCTTTATTTGCCATGTCACAGCCCCCAGTTCTAGGGGACTGTTTCTTTTTAAAACAAGAATTTGGAAAAGGATAATGAACTTTCTTTCTGTGATACGTCACCTTACGTAGTTTATCTGGACTTTTAACAGCGTGTCCAACTGTTCTGTAAAAAATGAAAAAAGATCCACATTCAAACCTTTAAAGTTTTTAAACAGAAAGATTTTATAGGTCACATTTTGTGATTACAATCCAATAAAATTAGAAATAAACAGAATTTTTAAAAATCTTAAATTTTAAAAAGGGAAATTACAAACCATCTGAAAAGCAATTAACAGGACGATACTTTATGCCAAAAGAAAATGAAGAGGCATGCCGAAATCGGTTTGGCTTAGTGGTAGAGCGTCGCTCTGCGGACTGAAAGGTCCCAGGTTCGATTCCGGTCAAGGGCATGTACATTGGTTGCGGGCACATCCCTGGTAGGGGGTGTGCAAGAGGCAGCTCGTTGATGTTTCTCTCTCATTGACATTTCTAGCTCTCTATCTCTCTCCCTTCTTCCTCTCCGTGAAATATCAATAAAATAAAATTTAAAAAAGAGGCATAATAACTAGTTCCTTTTAATTTTTTAAAATATATTTTATTGATTTTTTTTTACAGAGAGGAAGGGAGAGAGTTAGAAACATCTGTGAGGGAGAAACATTGATGATAGAGAAACATCAATCAGCTGCCTCCTGCACACCCCCTACTGGGGATGTGCCTGCAACCAAGGTACATGCCCTTGACCAGAATTGAACCTGGAACCCTTGAGTTCACAGGCTGACGCTCTATCGACTAAGCCAAAATGGTTAGGGCAGATGCTTTTAAAATGAAATATTACAGGTCATTTTTGGAGTAAGAAAATTATAACAATTTTTTTTTTAAAGATTTAAATAGACATTTAATGAAAGAATATATATTATATAAACTAGAGGCCCGATGCACAAAATTCATGCAAGGGGCACGGCCCTTGCAGCCGCAGTGGCTTGCCAAAGCCCTCACAGCACCAGCTTCGTCTGGAAGGTTGTTCAGCTATCCGGTATAATTAGCATATTATACTTTTATTATTATAAATGGCCAATAAGCACATGAAAAAATGAGTAACATTAGACATTTGGAATATATGTATTAAAAACCACAGTGAGAACCGAAACCAGTTTGGCTCAGCGATAAGAGCGTCGATCTGCGGATTGAAAGGTCCCAGGTTTGATTCCGGTCAAGAGCATGTACATTGGTTGCAGGCACATCCCCGATAGGGCTGTGCAAGAGGCAGCTGTCGATGTTTCTCTCTCATCAATGTTCTAGCTCTCTATCTCTCTCCCTTACTCTCTGTAAGAAAAATCAATAATATATATATATTTTTTTTAAAAACACCACAGTGAGATACACTCCTAGAATGACAATTATAACAATTTCTAATCACCTAAACTTTTTCTAACAAATAGACAAATAATTATATATATTTGAATATTTTAAAGTTTATTTTTATTAAGTTGAAGTATACTTAATTTTATTTGAATAAGAAACCACAAAAGAACACATCTCATGGTTTAGTATAGTGGTTTTCAAAAGTTTTGGCCTCAGGATGCTTTGCACTTTTAAAAATTCTTAAAGTCTCCTGAATAGACACTTCTCCCAAGAAGATGTAGAAATGGCCAACAGGTCGAGACCGGTTTGGCTCAGTGGATAGAGCATCAGTTTGGGGACTGAAGGGTCCCGGGTTCGATTCCGGTCAAGGGCATGTACCTTGGTTGCGGGCATATCCCCAGTGGGGAGTGTGCAAGAGGCAGCTGATTGATGACCCTCTCATCGATGTTTCTAGCTCTCTATCCTCTCCCTTCCTCTCTGTACAAAATCAATAAAATATATTTAAAAAAAAAGAAAAAAAAGAAAAAGAAATGGCCAACAGATATATGAAAAGATGTTCAATTTCACTAGCTATTAGGAAAATGCAAATCAAAACTATAATGAGATAGCACCTCACACCTGTTAGGATGGCTATTAACAAGACAAGTAATAAGAGTTGAAGAAGTTGCAGAGAAAAATATCCTTATTCACTGTAGTGGGAATGTAAACTGGTACAGCTACTATGGCAAACAATATGGACGTTCCCAAAAAAGCTAAGAATAGAGTTATCCTAGGACCAGCAACCCCTCTTCTGGATATCTACACAAAAACCTTAATTTATTTTAAAAGATATATGTACTCCATGTTTAGTGCAGTATTTATTCACATTGGCGAAGATAAGGAAACAATGGAAATATCCTTCGATAGATGATCTGATAAAGAAGCTGTTGTACATTTATATAGTAAAGGAATACTACTCAGCCACAAGAAAAGATGAAATACCGCCATTCCTGACACATGGATGGATCTTGGGAATATCATGCTATGTAAAATAAATCATATGGAAAAAGTCAAGAACCATATGAATTCATACATATGTGGGATATAAAACTGAAAACAACAAATGAACAAACTAACAAAACTATAGACATAGCTAACAGTATAGAGGTTACCAGAGGAAAAGGGGGGTGGGAAGGTAGTAAAGGATAAAGGGAGTTGGTGACAAAAGAATAGACTTTGGGTAGTGAGCACACAATGCAATATACAAATAATGTATTAGAACTGAACTCTTGAAACCAACCTATATAAGTTTATTAATCAATTCACCTCAATAAATTTAATTAAAATTTTTTTTAAATTCTGAGGTCTCAAAATAATTTTTTTATGTGGGAAATATTTGATATTTACTGTATTAGGAACTAAAACTGAGAAAATGTGTTAATTCATTTAAAAATAATAGACTTGCCCTAGCCAAAACCGGTTTGGCTCAGTGGTAGAGCGTCGGTCTGCGGACTGAAAGGTCCCGGGTTCGATTCCGGTCAAGGGCATGTACATTGGTTGCAGGCACATCCCCAGCAGGGGGTGTGCAAGAGGCAGCTGGTCGATGTATCTCTCTCATTGACGTTTCTAGCTCTCTATCTCTCTCCCTTCCTCTCTGTAAAAAATCAATAAAATATATTTTAAAAAAAAATAGACTTGCCCTAGCTGGTTTGGCTCAGTGAATAGCATCAGCCTGCGGACTAAAGGGTCCCAGATTCGATTCCGGCCAAGGGCACATGCCTGGGTTGTAGGCTCGATCCCCAGTAGGGGGCATGCAGGAGGCAGCTGATTAATGATTCTCTCTCATCAATGATGTTTCTATCTCTCTCCCCCTCTCCTTTCCTCTCTGAAATCAATAAAGAAATATATGTTTTAAAAAAGAATAGACTGCCGAAGCCGGTTTGGCTCAATGGATAGAGTGTCGGCCTGCGGACTGAAAGGTCCTGGGTTTGATTCCGGTCAAGGGCATGTACCTTGGTTGCGGGCACATCCCCGATAGGGGGCGTGCAAGAGGCAGCTGATCGATCACTCTCATCGATGTTTCAACTCTACTCTGTATCTCTCTCCCTTCCTCTCTGTAAAAAATCAATAAAATATATTTTATAAATAAATAAATAAATAAACATATTTGTTTGTTTATTTATAGACTTGTTACTTATTAACAGATTTAAAAAAATATTTATATTGACTTCTAGAGAGACAGGAAGGGAGACAGAAAGAGAAAGACTAACGTGAAAGTGAAACATCAATCCCTTCAACTGGGGATCCAGGCATGTTCCCTGATTGGGAATCAAACCAGTAACCTTTTTGATGCATAGGACGATGCCCAACCAACTGAGCCACCATCGGCCAGGGCTCACACTCTCACACACACACACACACACACACTGAGAAGAATGGCATTGTTCTATATTTTTACAAAATCTCTAATATTTAACAGAAGACAGCTGGATTCTCATTATTTCCTTCTCTATCTGTGATATCAAATGTAGCTTCTGGAAAACTCTACAATACACTTGTAAAAGAATAAAAATGAAAAAGGTGAATAATGTCTTAGTATTGATATGACTCCATTAACCTCAAAAACTCCCTGAAAGTGCTTCAGGAACCCCAGGGTCTCAGATCACACTGTAAGAAGCAGTGGTTTGGTAGAAAGTTCGGCAAATCTGAGAAGGAATGCCATTTTTATCACTTTCTTAGTGCATAACCCTGAACAAATCACTTAACTTCTCTAATCTTTAGGTTTCCTCATCAATTGTTAGGGGAGAGAGGGGGGAATGAAACCTACCCAATAGGACTGTGGTAACTATTAGAGATAATATTTATGTGTTTAGCACAATGACTAGCAAAAAGGAAATGTTTGAGAATAATATAATTATTATAATATAAAAGAATACTTATCCAGCTTTCAACATTTGCTGTGTCCCACAAACTTTAAAGATGCTCTTACCTATTTATGTAAGCAGCCAACTGTTTTGGAGATTTCTTAACCTGAAAAATTAAAATAGATAGTTGTAACAAATTTAAGATTTTAAATAAAACTATGTAAACTCTGTGATTGATCTTAACAAATCTGAGATTCAACAGTTAAGTTTTCAGACTAAAGCTTTATCTCAATCATTAGTTACAACACTGTATAGAGATGTTTTTGGTATATCTATTTCCCTATTTTCTATGCCACTAGTCACATATTATACTTACAGGGTACTTAAATAAGTTGAATTTTAATGTGGTTTAAGAGAAATTATATCAGTGCTGATATGCCTAACAATGGCAAACAAAAAGCACTTTTAAGATTCTTCTTTAACCCAGAAATCACCCCAAGCCATTATGCTCAATTAATATTTGACAAAGAAGGCAAGAGCATACAATGGATTCAAAACAGTCTCATTAATAAATGGTGCTGGGAAAGTTGGACAGAAACATAAGAAATAAATAAAATAAATAAAATAAAAAGGAAGAAAGGAACTATATCACCAACTTAAACCATCCACAAAAACAAAGCCAAAATGGCTAAAGGACTTGAATGTAAGATGGGAAACCATAAAAATCCTACAAGATTCCATAGGCAGCAAAATAGCAGTCATCTGTCGTAGCAATATCTTTACAGACACAACTCCTAGGGCAATGGAGACTAAAGAGAAAGTAAACAAATGGGACTACATCAAAATAAAAAGCTTCTGGAGAGAAACTAAGTTGGCAGCATAGGTAACTATGAACTTGCTGCCTCACACAACTTCAAAACTACAACTAAAAGACAAAACAGACATCATCAAGAACCACAGGAAGGCTGGCTAAGTGAAATTCTACAACTAGAAGGGAAGAGAAAAGCACACTGAGACTCAGAGAAGCTGCAGAAGTAAAGTGCAGAGGTACGGAGGTGCGTGAAGAGAGGGCTGGCAATTGAGTATGCAGCTGGCTTTTTCAATCCGGAGGGAGACACATGTTCCCAACTGCTCTGATCTCCAGTTCCGGGCAAGACTCATACGGGGAGAAACTGGACTGTCTGGCAGCAGGTGGAACTTGAGGGTGGCTTTCTCTCAGAGGTGCTTGCAATGATTACCAAAGGACACTGAGACCCGGGGGCCTCTTAGGGAAGGGTACATCTACACTAGGGGTGTCGAACTCAATCAGAGAAGGGGCCAAAATCTAAAATCCAGCCTAAATCGCGGGCCGAATGGTTTACTGAACAGTCATAAACTGTCATTGTGATGGAAACGCAGTGGAGTGCAGTGATGATAGCGCGGTGCGGGCCACATTGCAAGGCCTGGCGGGACGGATTTGGCCCGCGGGCCTTGTGTTTGACACATGTGATCTACACAATGGAATACTGTGCCGCTATAAAAAAGAAGGAACTTTTATCATTTGCAACAACATGGATGGAACTGGAGATCATTATGCTAAGGGAAATAAGCCAGTCAGAGAAAGATAAATATCACATGATCTTACTCATATGTGAGATATAATGATCAACATATATTGATAAACAAAAATACATCTAACGACAAATGGTAGGGGAAAAGGAGTTAAAGAGCAACTAAAGGGCTTGTATGCATGTATATTAGCACAACCAATGGACACAGACACTGGGGCAGTGGAGGTTTGCCCGCGGTGGGAATGGCTGTGGTGGGAGGTGGTCAATTGGAGAATAAGAAGACATGTAAAATTTTAGACAATAAAAATAAATAAATTAATTAATTAAAAAATTAAAAATATTCTTTAATATTAAATTATAATATCAAAATTACATCCTATTAATATAACAGTACACAGGTAAAAAAAATTTAGAGCTTTCAGAATATAATATAAAATTTTCAATATTTAATTAATTCCACTTAATTCTGGCAAGTTAAACAAAATTGGTATCTCTTGTTTTTCAAATAATTTAATCAGAATTACCCATACGCCTAATAGTTTAAATTGTCTGTGATGAAATGAAAAAAACCTGTGTCTCCTCAAAATTCCAGTTTAAATCCTATTACAAGGTTGGCCTCTTTGAAAGGTGACTGGGTCATGAATGAGATTACTGCTCTTATAAAAGACCCCAGAGAGCTCTCTTACCCCTTTCACCATGCTAAGACACAGTGAAAAGACAGTCATCTGCAGGCCCTCACCAGACACCAAATCTGTCTGGGCCTTGATCTTGAACTTCCCAGCCTCTAGAGCTATAAGAAGTAAATTTCTGTTGTTTGAAGCCACCCAGTCTATAGTATTCTGTCATAGTATTCTTAGCCTGAACAGACTAAAATACTTTCTGTCTTACCTGTTACCTAGAAACTGTAGACTTACCTCCTTCATGTTCTTATTAGTGAAATTAGAGATCCTTTTTCTAGGACGATCAATGGAATGATCCTCAATATTATTAGAAAAGTTCCGTTTTTTAACATTGTGGGTTTCAGATGCCATAATCTCTTAAATACCTAGACAACAAAATAAAAATAATAAATGGAAAATACAAAAAGCAAAAGAGCCTATTTCCTTAATACACATACAAAAATATAAAAACAGCTCGCTATGTAAAAACTGCTTATGAGTAAAGCAGAGAACACAGTTCTGATCTACACACTTTAACAAAACAAATACAGAGCAGGGCATTTCATGAAATTAAGGGTCTTTCTAGACATCACCAAAAATAATAACATGGCATGCATTTTAGCCCAACACAAAATGTCAATCTCCCCATTTTCTATATCACTAGCCATATATTAAATTTAAACTTACAGGTCATGAAATCAAGTCTATGTGTATAGTAGTAATTATGAAATTCAAATCTACAGAAGCCTAAAAATTTTTAACCAAATCACATATACCACCCCAAGCAGCAGAGGAACCAAAATCAAACTATAAATATCTAATGTGTTTATGCCTAACCCTTACATTTTTCTTTCATTCTTGTAGCTAGCTCTCCAAAGCTTTCTTCTACCTTTGAAAAAAAAATAATCCAATGTACTCTGGGTTAAGAAACCTCTCAGATGAGACTTTAAAAATAAATAAATAATTACATTAATATAATAAGCACTGGCTGAGGGGCATCCATATGAGTGAGCAAAACTTCACTGAGGAAAGTCTTAAAGAACAAACAGCATGTGCACAATTGAAAAGCATGAAGCAACAAGGTTTGTCTGGCATTATCTTAAGCAGATACATGTGACTGGGGCTTAGGCTGGGAGTGGATTACAGCATGGTGAGAAATGAGGCTGGAAGAGATAGGCAGATCTATCAGGGGTCCTCAAACTTTTTAAAGTGGGGGCCAGATCACGGTCCCTCAGAGAGCTGGAGGGCCGGACTATATGAACTACTAATTCCTACTGTAACACCTCGGCTGCGCTCACTGCCCAAAAAACCTGGCGGGCAGGATCAGACTCCTCTGCGGGCCGCATGTGGCCCGAGGGCCGTAGTTTGAAGACGCCTGAATTCTAGATCATAAAGGGTTTGTTCATGAGCTAAGCTTTTTTGTTGTTAATCCTCACCTAAGGATACACTTATTGAATTGAGAGAGAGAAAGAGAGAGAAGGAGAAAGAGAAAGAGAAAGAGAAAGAGAGAGAAGGAGGAGGAGGAGGAGGAGAAGAAGGAGGAGAAGGAGAAGGAGAAGGAGAAGGAGAAGGAGAAGGAGAAGGAGAAAGAGAGAGGGAGGGAGGGAGGGAGGGAGGGAGGGGGAAGAGGAAGAGGAAGAGGAAGAGAAAGAATGAGATATCCAGAGATCCAGATAGAACCTGCAGCTTAGGTATATGCCCTGACCAGAAATTGAACCAGCAACTTTTTGGTATGCTCCAACCGAATGAACAACACTGGTCAAGGCTTTTTTTTTTTTTTTTTTTTTGTTTTTTTTTTGGGGGGGGGGGAGGGGGAGACATTTAAAAATAGGAGATGAAACACTTCCACCCTTACCTGAGACCCAATTATAATGACAGAAAAAAAATTTTAAACACATAAAACCTATTAGAACAAAGAAGAGGAAATGACGACAACATTTTGGAAATGGCAAAGCAGAAATGACAAATGACTTGGCAGATCTGAGAAAGCCAAATCCTAAATCAACAACAGTAAGGAAAGGTGAAAAGGAGAATCCCCAAAAGGTTCAGTAACTGGCAATACTGAGGACCTCAATAAGTGAGGATAAAGGTGGACTTAAGAACAAGTAACATGAATATCCATTCAAGACACCTAGATTCATCCCTACATCCCCTTCCCCATTCCAGTAAAAGACTAGTTTTATGGTATGGAAAACTTAAAACACAACCTTTGGGATGGGTAACACCAGTCATGAATGAAGGTGAAAGGAGCATATTATAAACCAGGGTGGGGAAGAGGATCAAGTGAAAGTTTACAAAGTAAATATTAAGACCTCTAACCTTTATTCTACCACTTGCCTCATAGAGGCCTGCAGCCAGGCTTATAGACTTCAGAAAAGAGGGCAAAAGCTCAATCCCAGAGGAAAACACATCCTACCTAATAAAGAGGGGATGTGCTAATTAACCATCACGCTTTCACAAAGATGGCGGAGCCCACAGCCAATGAGGAGGGAATATGCTAATTTACTGTCAAGCCCTCAAAGATGGCAGCCCCCTCAGACACAAAATGGCAGCTCCCAGCCCCCTCAGCCCCACAGGGGCAGCAGGCGCAAGGCACAGCCAAGCCTGCCCTCAGACAGGTCCAACTGCTCCACACGCCTGCCTCCGGAGTCCCCTCAGCTACCAGCTGCCCAGGGCTTCCCAAAGCTCAGGTAACCAAGGCTTGTGCTGCTGGCAGTGGCAACAGAAGAGGTATATGGGAGCGTCGCCTCCCTCCTCAGGGCTCCCGGACTGTGAGAGGGGGAAGGCTGGGCTGAGGGACTCCGCCACCTGTGGATGAATTTTCATGCACCGGGACTCTAGTATATACGCAGATATCTAAAAATATTGACATCAGTGATGATTAAACTTCACAAAAAACTTTTATGTCTTGATTATGGTGGGAGTTACCCAACTGTCAAAACCAAGCAATATAGACTGTGTAAAATTTTATTAGATGTATATTACATCTTAATAAATCTGCCTTTAAAAATTCCTTAAGACAGTGGTCGGCAAATTGCAGTTTGAGAGCCACATGTGGCTCGGGAGCCTTGGTTTGTCACTTTGTTGACTTATGAGTTTGCAGACCACTGCCTTAAGAGATAAGAACAAACTGCATCCATGAAACACAAATGAGGCAAAAACTGAACTAAGACCACTGGAAATTAATTACTATTACAGTAGACCCTTGTTTCTGTCAAAAGATACAACCTGATTACTATTCAGTCTATAAAAAGTCAACTTTTTGTAATCCAACTCATCAATAAATATGAAGTTGCCCTAGCTGGTTTTGCTTAGTGGACAGAACATCAGCCCTTGGACTAAAGAGCCCGGATTCAATTCTGGGCTAGAGCACATATCTTATTTGCAGGCTTGATCCATGGCCCAAACATCAATGTTTCTCTCTCTCCTCTCTCTCTCTCTCTCTCTCTCTCTCTCTCTCTCTCTCTCTCTCTCTCTCTCTCTCTCTCTCTCTCTCTCCTCCCACTCTCCCTTTCCACTCTCTATAAAAAAAAAATCAATGAAAAAAATAACCTCCAGTGAGGATTAACAACCCTCTCCAAAAAAATCTTAATACAAATGAATAAAATAATATGAAGTTGCCTTTATCACAAAAGAACCTTGAGAAATAAAATTAGAGAAAGAGGTCTCTGATGTCATTTTATCAACTTAACACATTGCAGACCAGTAGTTTTATTGCTAGCTTTACCCAGTGGCCAGATAAGTTTCTAATGAATGATTATAGAAACGTTTTAATAAATGTTAAAAGCACGTTTTTATTTATTTTATTATTTTTTTATTTTATTTTTTTTTGTAGCCATTAAATATTTATAAAAATCTAATTAGTCATTGAATCATAGAGATGATACCAAAATAATTTGGGAGATTCAAACAATTTTTTCATGACCAATCTGACAAAACCGTACTAGAATCTTGTTTGATATAACATGATTACATGAAGTTATATTTGGCATTTTACGGTAAGCCTGTGTGTGTGTGTGTGTTTGAGTGTGTGTGTGTGTGTGTGAACCTACAACAGGAAGATCATCTGAAGCAGATTAGAATTTGAATATTAGCTACAGGAATGATATTTATTTATTTTTGTCTATTGAATAAATTAATAAACATCATAATTTATATATTTCTTCTGGTATGAGTATCAGCTCCAAAATGCTTTATATACTGTCCAAAAATAGCATAAACTTTGTTTTGAGAAATTACTTGTTTATGAAAGTATTGCTTTGAAAAGATAAAGCTCAAATGAATGCATTAGACAAAATAGTTTGTGGTAACACCTTAGGAAATAAAGTGGCAATGTAAAGGCACGTTTTTAAAATTAAATGCCCAATGAATTTTGAAGTTATTTATTACATGTTTTTATAAGCTATTATACTTTTAAAGAATTTTCATGATCGGTCACAAGCCTTATACCAGAAAACACTAGAATTCTTGTGATCTGTCCGCAATTTGTTAACATGGAACTATAGATGTTTTATATTCAGAATCTCTTTTATATTATAACTAGAGGCAGGGGTGTCCCTCAGCCCAGCCTGCACCTTCTCCGATCTGGGACCCCTTGAGGGCAGTCGGACATCCCTCTAACAATCCAGGACTGCTCACAACTGCTTGCCTGCCTGCCTTCCTGATTGCTCCTAACCACTTCTGCCTGCCAGCCTGATCACCCCCTAACCACTCTCATGCCAGCCTGATTGATATCTAACTGCTCCTCTGCCAGCCTGTTTGCCTCAACTTCCCTCTTTTGCTGGCCTGGTCACCCCTAACTGCCCTCCCCTACTGGCCATCTTGTGTCCACATGGGGGCAGCCATACTGAGTGTTGGAGTGATGGTCAATCTGCATATTACTCTTTTATTAGATAGGATAGAGGCCTGGTGCATGGGTGCCCTGAAGGGTGTCCTGGACCAGGGTAGGGGTTCCCTTGGGGCATGGGGCGGCCTGAGCAAGGGGCCTGTGGTAGTTTGCAGGCCAGCCATGCCCCCTGGCAACCCAAGCAGAGGCCCTGGTATCTGGAATTTATTTACCTTCTATAATTGAAACTTTGTAGCCTGGAGTGAAGGCCTGGGTGTGCGGAAAGTTTTGCTTCTCCAGTTGCCAGAGGCAACCCTAGCTTCCAACTCTCTCCAGCTCCGTGGCTGCCGCCATTTCTGTTTGGATTTGTTTACCTTATATAATTGCAACTTTATTGTCTTGAGTGGAGGCTTATGCCAGCTAGGGCAGGCAGAAAGCTTGGCTTCTGTTGACTGGGAAACCCAAGCCTCCCTCCTGCTCTCTGTGGCCGTAGCCATCTTGGTTGGGTTTATTTGCACACTCGCTCTGATCGGCTGGTGGGCGTGGCTGGTGGGTGTACAG